GTCCTGGTGTTGCAGCCCCTGGTTCCCAGCCCCTTTCCTTTTTCCCTGTGTTTTAGGTACTACCTCTTTGCCCTGGTGGTGAATCTGAGCAGGGACCTGTACGAGCTGCGGGTGCTGCTGGAGCTCGAGGCCAGTGGGAAGAGAGGGAAAAACCCTGGGAATGGGCTCCAGCTCCAGGCTGGGAACAAACTCCAACAGCTGAGGCTGTGTTGCAGCCCCTGGTTCCCAGCCCCTTTCCTTTTTCCCTGTGTTTTAGGTACTACCTCTTTGCCCTGGTGGTGAATCTGAGCAGGGACCTGTACGAGCTGCGGGTGCTGCTGGAGCTCGAGGCCAGTGGGAAGAGAGGGAAAAACCCTGGGAATGGGCTCCAGCTCCAGGCTGGGAACAAACTCCAACAGCTGAGGCTGAAGCTGCAGCTCCAGCTGCAGCTCCTGCTCCGGGTCCTTGGGAATAATCCCCCTTTGTTGCTGGACTTGGTGAAAAACACCTGTGACCTTTTTATCCCCCTGGACAAGTTGGGGTTGTTCCAAACCAGCCGGGGGTTCGTGGGGCTCTGTGGTCTCAGCTCCTCCCTCCTCTCCATCCTCACCATCCTTCATCCCTGGCTCAAGCCCCCCCATCTTTCTGGGGGGTCCCTGATCCCGGAATCAGCCAAGAGGGAAAGATTTAGAGCTGGAGAAGTAGTTCCCTGGGTGATTCTCCCTGACTGGGGGGCTTTGAATCCTGGGATTGGGGGGCTTTGAATCCCGGGATTGGGGGGGTTGAATCCCAGGATTGGGGGGGTTTGAATCCTGGGATTGGGGGGGCTTGAATCCCAGGATTGGGGGGCTTTGAATCCTGGGACTGGGGGGGTTTAACTCCTGGGCTGGGGGAGATTCCCAGCCCTTCCTCCCAGCCCTTCCCAGTTCCTCCCGCTCCCTTCACTTCCCTTTGAGTGGCTTTTCTTTGGGATCACTCCGGGTGGATTCCCAGGTTCTCCTGTCATTCCCACCTCCTTTTTCCTCCCAGTTGTCCAGACCCTCTGGTGTTTGGTCTCAGCTCCAGCAGCTCTGGGATCACCAGTCCCGGGTTCATGAAATGAGTTCCCTGCAGGTGCTGAACTCACCCCCTCCCTGTGCTCCCTGTGATCCTGGAGGGATCACGCCAGGAATGACATTTGGGAGAAGCCAACGAGCTCATCCCACCTTTTCCTTCACCTCTTCCTCCCCTTCTCCAGGGGTTTTTTTCCCTCCACGAATGTGATTCCCAGTCCTGGGGTGTGTCTGGATCCCAGGAGGGGCTGGAATTGATTCCCTCCATCCAGCTGCTGGATCCAGGGGGGTCTCCAGCACTTCCAGGGGGGGTTTCCATCCTGGTGGAACCATGTCCTGGGTCACCCAGAGGGAGCTGGAGAGGTGGGAATGGGGCAAAGAGCCTGGAGTTCCCAGCAGGGCAAGGGCAGGATCTGCAGCTGGAGCAGGAGATCCCAGGGATGGATGGATGGATGGAGGGAGGGATGGATGGATGGATGGAGAGAGGGAGGGAGGGAGGGATGGATGGATGGATGGAAACCAGTCCCAAGGAGAAGGATCTGGGGGGGGAGGGTGGAGGAGAAGCTCAAGATGGGCTGGAGCCCAGAAACCCCCCGTGGCCTGGGCTGTGTCACCAGCAGCGTGGGCAGCAGGGCCAGGGAGGGGATTGTCCCCTCTGCTCTGCTCTGGGGAGACCCCCTGGAGAACTGGGACCAGTTCTGGAGCCTCCAGCACAGGAAGGACATGGAGCTGGTGGAGAGAGGCCAGAGGAGGCCCCGGAGATGCTGGGAGGGCTGGAGCAGCTCTGGAGCCAGGCTGGGAGAGTTGGGGTGTTGAGCCTGGAGAGGAGAAGGCTCCAGGGAGAGCTTAGAGCAGCTTCCAGGGCCTGAAGGGGCTCCAGGAAAGCTGGGGAGGGACTTGGGCCAAGGGCAGGGAGGGATGGGATGAGGGGGAGGGATGAAAAGTGGGAGAGGGAGCTGGAGGTTGGAGCTGAGGAGGGAATTGTGGAGTGTGAGGGTGGGGAGAGCCTGGGCCAGGTTGCCCAGGGAAGCTGTGGCTGCCCCATCCCTGGGGGTGTTGAAGGGCAGGTTGGATGGGGCTTGGAGCAGCCTGGGCTGCTGGGAGGTGTCCCTGCCCATGGGGGGGTGGATCTGGATGATCTTGAAGGTCCCTCCATCCCAACCCATCACTCCATGATCTTCCCTCCATCCCCCCTCTCTCCCTTCCCTTCAGAAGGGGCTTCATGACCAGCCCTGGAGCCCCTGGGGGTCCAGGATCCCCCTCCCCCTGCTCTTCAGTCCTTCCTCTTCTACCCAAATCTCCCCGGGACCCCCCGGGGTCACTAATAAATCAATGATCTAATAGCAAATAATAATTAAAATCATCTAAATTAAATAATAATTAGTGATCCCATTTATCCCGGGATTTTGGGGGCTGGAGGGGGGACACGGATCCCACCTGGGGGGAGGGGCCTTGGAGCCACTTATTCCCCCTAATTAGCATCATCAACTAATTCCACTCATCCCCACTAATTAGTGTTATTAACGAACTCATTCCACCTCAATCCGATTAATTTCCAGATTAATTAATTCCCACTGGGATTTTCCCAGGTCAGGGAGACTCCAAAACACTGGGATCAGAGTTTAATTGTTGTTAATTACCTGGGGCTCATTAACAGGAGCCTTTTTTTTAACCCCTTTTTGTCCCTGTTTTTCACTCGGTGACTCCGGAGACTCCAGGTAATTAGAGGAGGGTCCTCGTTAGGTGTTAATTAAGGAGGGGTTGGGGGGCCTGGGGGTGTCCCTGCCTGGTGCCTGCTCTGCCTTCCCCAGGGGCCTGGAGCCCTGGGAGCACTGGGCTGGACTGGGAGCACTGGGCTGGACTGAGGGTGCTGGACTGGTGTCACTGAGCTGGACTGGGAAGCACGTGGCTGAACTGGGGGTGCTGGATTGGGGGCACTGGGCT